CTGGAGAGCATGACGAACATCAAAAGGTGGTGGCGACCTCCGAGACCAACTTCAAACTATCAAACTATCAAGGGGCATCGAGCGTGAAGTGGAAAGAGCGCAATTAGCTTCTCTGTTACGATTGCCACCGATGGGCTTGAATCGCGGCGAGCACGTCCTGCGGAAGGCGGGCGTTGTCTTGGAGCGCGCGACGAGCTTCAAAGTCGTCGGCGACGAGGACGCAATCTGCGGCACTCGACAACGCGACGCGCACCGCGGCCTCTTCGAGCGACGACGACGGCACACCAAACGTGGTGAGCTGGTCGTGGATGTCCTTGGCGTCGTTGGCGGCAATCATCTACAAGCGTGCGTCAATCTTCAACACATCGATTCCAAGGAACCTCGATCGACGCGTCAAAGTATCGCAAGAGGTCGCGGATCGCAAACGAGTAGGCAAACGAAAACTCTTTGGTCGCTTCGACCTGGTTGAGCGTCTCGAGGATGGCTTCGATGCGCGGCAGAATCTGCGTCTCGCGGATGTACACCCACTCGGCAAAGTTGTCAAACTGCTCGTGCTGGTACGCGAGAATGTGCGCCCACGCAATCTCCTATCCAGTAATGATCCGATAGATCGTTGTATCCAGTATCCGATGGATGGTATCCAGTCCACGCAAGGATATGACGTACGTCGGGCGACGGCACGCTTGTCGCATTGGCCGGGTAAATGGTCTCGCGGTACTTTTGCTCGACATTGAGCGCAAAGGCAAACGTCTCCTTGAGCTTGGCCGCGATCTCGTCGCCCGAGAGCTTGGCCGGCATCGTCGCCAAGTGCAGCGGCTTGGGGTCCCCACCCGCAAGAACATTCACATCCAGCGGCTGCTCACCAAGGAGCGCGACGCCCTTCTTTTCACGGTGCACTGCAAACGCCAAATTACTCTGGACGTTGACCGGCACTTGCAGCGCGACGCAGCCGGGCTGCCACACGTCGTCGGCGAAAAGCACGCGGCGGACAAAGGCGTCGGTCGCCTCGGGAGAGCTCGAAGATGGGAAGGCAAAGCCGTAGCCTTGAATGTGCCCCGCCGCGATGCTACCTTCGAGCGCAGCGATCGCGCCCTGCAACAGCGCCTTGTCGTGCGTGTCAACGAGCTCGCTGGGCAGACGCAGCAGCACCACGTCGACGGTCTCGACGTCCAGCGCGCGCCGAATGCGCTCGATCTGGTACGTCACGGCCTCGGGCGACAGCTTCTCGTCCAGTCCTACAAGCGAGCGATTGTGAGGCGCGTGCTGCAGAGAGGGCAACGCGCGTACGCAGTGCGGCGCCATCGATCTTGTCGTCGAGAAGCGCGCTGAGCACAATGTTCTCGCGCGGAACGCTGTCTTCAGAGAAGAGTTCGTTGAGCGCGATGGGCTCGGCCGCGTGCGTGACCGAGACCGCCTCGGCCTGCGACGGCACCGTGTACCAAAAGTGCGTCTGGACAAAGTTGTGCTGGTGCGTCAGGACGGCCTCCTTGAGCTGGTGGAGCAGCTGTGACTCCTTGGTGAAAAGCACGGGGCTACCGTAGCCCAGCGGCGTGATCGCGACCGTCGCCGTCGGCAGCTGCAGAGCTCGCTGCGTCGCGACGTTCGCATTGGCGATAAAGGCCTGCGTCCCCTCGGTGGTGGCGCGGCCCATGTGCAATAGCGCCGCGCGCGAGGCCACGCGCAGCTTCGGGAGCTCTCGGAGCACGGAGAGCATGGGGATCGCGATGAAGGACTTGGAACGACGGGCCTGCAATTGATTGCACTGTTCCAATCACGCTGGTTTGGCTTCCGGTTACGGTCGCAATCTTCCGGATGACGCTGCGTTGTCCTTGGCGCCAAGCACGCAGCAAATTCAGCGAGTGCACGGAGGTGCTGCTCCATAGTATGGAAGTGCTTTTGGATTGTTGCACGGAGGGCATTGATGTAGTAGGGCACTACGTGGCAGGCGAGATTTGGTGCTGCTGCTTAAGGACGCTCCACCACGATTGCATTTTGATATGCAAAGCTGATCGACGTCGGTAAGTAGAGCACGATGGACAGTGTTCGATGTTCTCTTTCTGTCATGCATTATATCGTACGCAGCCGCGTTTGACGTCGACACCAAGCAGTGCCATGGGTTGGACCAGGGGTTATTGTTTCCCTGTGTCGAGCTCCTGGGTCGGACATGGCATGTGTCGACGTGACGATGCACAGGGAGGTTTCCAAAACTGTGGGACTCCCATGCCTGTTGTTGCAAACGCCCGGCCGTCCTTTGCCGTTTAAGGGCCTTGACGCATGGAAGCGCTGCGTAGTATTACGGCTGCGGTTGTTCAATCTCAACAACATCGCCGACAAAAGCTCCAGCCAGCAAGAACTTCGATGCGAATCATCCAAACAATGCAACGACCGACAGCCAATGCCAATGCATGTGCTAGCGACGCCAGTGCGCTGGCTACGTCCACGGCGTGTACCTTCAACGTGTACCCATGAGCAAGAGGTGCAGCAATGTCGACGCTTCGTCGCATCGAGCAGCGCTGCGCAAAGACGCGAAGTCTTTTGGCCTTTACCGGCGTGAGCTCTTCGCACAGTAACCACCACGCCACGGTGTCATTCGCGGGCGATCGTCTCGGCAGCAGCCCGCTTCCTCGCCATCTTTACCACTGGCAAAGAGCGCTCGACGCCAATTGCATCTATCTACCAGTCGTCACATGAGACCGTAAGCCTGCGCTCAAGGTGTAGTGTATATCGACCCAGCGTCCACAGCGTCCGCAGCGCCGAGACAGGCGCGCACTTTTTATGCGCATCATCCATCCCTCGGAGCATCATCTCTTGGCAGAAACGCGCCGGGCGCGTCATCGCCTCGTTCGTCGCGGCTTGAAGGCTCAACGCACGCGGCCATTTTGGCTCCGCTGCGTCGACCGTACCGGGTACTATCGAGGCATTGCGAGCGTCGAGCTGCGTCAATGGTGGTGGCGCTGCACCCAGACTGGATCTTCCTCTGAAACTTGATAGATTTGCGGCCGGTGATTGGCTACTGCGCAGCGATAGCAACATTGCGTGTCGTCGTGCAGCTCGTCGGCGACGGAGCCTCGGACTTAGAGAAACGAATTGGACGCGACATGGGCTTTACGTGGTTTGGCATCGGCGTACGCGCGTAGGACGATATGATCGTCGATCGCTCAGCGCTTTGAGGTAGAAAGGCCGGCAGCTCGTCCAGGCCGCCAAGGACGGCGACGTCGAACAGGTCGCGATGCTCCTCCGGAAGCGCGCCAACCCGAATGCGAAAAAGGCCGTACGAGCATCGACACCACTCCGCTTGCGTTATGCTTAGCGTCCGGACTAGGGCATGACCGCGCTCTTCTACGCGGCCTCGAGCGGCCGCGTCCCGATCGCCATGATGCTCGTCGAGGCCGGCGTCGACGTCAACAAGAGCACCTCGGTACGTACGACGACTCGACGGGATGTGACGTCATTGACGTGCGACTAGCTCGGCGAGTACCCGATCTACATTGCCGCCGCCAACGGCCACGCCGAAGTCGTCCAGATCCTCGTGACGGCCAAGGCGAATGTCAACAAGGTCAAGAAGGACGGCGATTCGGCGCTGTACATTGCCGCGGCGAATGGCCATACACGCATCGTCGAGATGCTCGTGGCGGCCAAAGCCGACGTCAACAAAACCAACAAGGTACGCATCGCTTTGCATCGATCTATCAAGTCGATACACATCTTCATCTTCATGCAGACGGGCGACCTGCCGATCAAGATGGCGGCGCAAGGCGGCTTTATCGACATTGTCCGCATCCTCATTGGCGCCAAGGCCGACATGAACAAGTGCGACGAGGTACAATTATTTGTGTCGATATTCCCAACTGGAACATATATCCATCGTGGCCTAGTTTGGCTTCTCCACCATTTACGTCGCCGCGTCGCACGGCGAAGACGAGATCGTCCAGCTCCTCATCGATGCCGGCGCCGACATGGACCCGTCCAAGGTACGACCGCAACCATCTCCC